TTATCGATCATATCAGAGAATGATAATCCGCAATCGTTGTATTTGACAAAATAACAATGTCGACGTGTTAAAAACACACTTTACCGGTCAGTGATAATGAATCACGTTGTAGCTAGAGCAAACACTTTTCTCGATAACAAGTAGCAATGGGCCATAATTACTATGTTTTTTTCGTTATACCATTGTAAATTGCGCATTTTTTCAGATGTATTGTCAACAATAGCGGTGATTCGACAGATGTCAAGTATTTTATTGTGTCTCAAAGCTGTTTCAAGAGACCGATAAACGTCTCAGATTTTATTTGTCGTCCTACTTACTTCCCCCCCCCGTAATTATTTAATGCCGATAAAATAATAATAATCTGAAAAATATATGTATACGTTTACTTTATCTGTTCAAGACGAGCTCTACAACTTATTCTCACATCTTTAATAATTTTGACGTTTCGAATGTTTCGAATCAAATATATAACTTCAAGCAACTTCGGCTTTCTCCTCTTTATACTATGCAATTCAAGATTAAAAACAATGTGTTTGTCAGTCATTAGTTGATTTGTTTTGATATCTCAAATTGACAAGGCTGACAAAACTGTTTGTATTACTAATGCGACATCAATATGAATTATCCTACTTTACGGCTATCATTTTATGACCTATTTTCATTTTTCTGATAGCGCCTATCTATAGCGCAAGAATTTTAAGAATTTTTACCTTTCTCACGTCTCCTTACCGACGATATTAATTATGATATTTAAGCGATTTTGAAGAAGTTGTATCAGCGTATCTCCAGTTTCTTCCAGGTTTTAAATATTTATATTTATATTTATATTTATGATGTTACATCATGTTGAAATGATGCAATCTTTATATTAAAAAGATCTGCCGGTAGAATAATCGCAAGTCATACTCTGCAAGGAAATATCTTGAAAATTTAATTAAGCACGATAAGAGAGAAAAAAAAAGGTGTATTCCAATATCAATGTTTACAACGTACCGTTATATAAATTAACGGTATAATGCGTTTCAGAACTGTCGTATTTTCGTTGCGGTGATCTTCTCGTAAAAATCTCGCATTGAATTCACTCGGTGAAGCAAAAAATTAATTGGAAGCCCAATTACAGAGTTATTCGCGAATAATAAAGCGGAATAACGGAGAGCGGATATAACATAAAGTATATTTTCCTCGAAATGCGCGGCTAATAAATTATTGATTAGTTTATGAATTATTAATTCTTCATGACTTGTCAATGAGTGTAACATAAATTATAATATACGCTTTCAATTCTATAATGAATTCGTTAACCCGAAATTATTATTGCACACAGAGCATGATACGACCTAATAGACTGCCGCCTAAAGCCGCCCAACACCAAATTAACCGTTACATTGCGCAACAAAGGCACATATATAGGCAGATATATTATATATAACTATAATAATCGTTAGTATCAACGCTGAAATCTAAGCTAGTTTAACAATTATAAATTATCTCTGTGGATAAGCCGGTGGATACTCCGAGTAGATTGAAGCTATTGACGCTCGCACTTGAACGCATTAATTCAAGCAAACTTGTTGTGAGCGAATAATGCTACGATATGTTAAACGGAGATAACATTATCATAGTATCATCATATACGGTTCTTTAATATGCTTTTCAATCAAAAGATTTAACGTTTAAAATATTAAATTAAATAATTGAATTTTCTGACCAAATAATTCAACAGGTTCCGATTTTATTTATATTTTCTCGCGTGAATATATTTATTTATTTTATATACATTATTTTCGTGAATTATTGTTATTATGTTGATTTGAAATTAAAATCGTATAGAAATGTGGTAAAAAGATTTCAAATGTAAAATTGATGAAATACGCAAGACGTAATCTAAAAACTATATAAGAATTGTGTTATCGCATATAATGCAATAGCACATAATGCAATATTTGTTAAATTGCGCACAAGCACAGCGCACGCTTTTTCATTTTCCGTTCCGCACTTATTCTTATCTTTATTCTTATCAAACAGAAGAACAAGCGCGTTCTCGTGCGATCTCTATCGTACACATTCCAGGTGATTAATTTTCATCAGGTAATCCCGCTACTCTACAGAGATAATCATTTTTACTACTTAAAAGAAACTACTACTGGATATATTCTTTTTACATATTAATGTTTTTTTTTTTTTCAATAATGTGTAAAATAGAAAATTCAATTTATGAGCACCGCGCTACCTTCGTTCTCCGAATGATAGAATAAAAAGCGGACCTCGGACAAGACTCAGAAAATATTCCTTGGCCAATTTCAATATTTCGCCGTCATCATTCCAATGTTCTCCTTGCATCTCATTTGCATTTTTTTCTTTTTTCAGGTCGTGGCTATATCTATTTTGCGCGCGATGTCACGGTCGCGACGACACGCCGTCCTGGGAGCCGCCAGGATGGAGGAGAGCGTGTCCACAGCCGTTCTGTCCGACGTACAGGAAATTCGCTCGGATTCTATGCCTCTTTCTTCTGGGTCTGCTGCTCTGGGGTGTCGTCTACTCGGTGATCGGCAATGACGCCGCCCCGGGTGGTCCTCTCTTCGGATTGGCCGCCCTGTGCATCGCCGCGCACTTCGGGGGTTGGCTGATCTCTTTGACCACTCTTCCGGCCTTGATCGGTATGCTGATCACCGGTCTGATATTGCAGAATGTCGGGCTCGTCAAGATCGAAGGACAGTACACAGTTGTCGTCGCCAATCTACGGTGAGTCTCCTTTAAGGGCGACGGAAGGTTCCCGAGGAAACCTTCTCCGATAGTAAGTAAGTAGGATTCTTGCTGAGCGTCCGATTATTTCAGGTTAGAACGAAAAAAAGTTTCCGGATCAGTCATGGCGAAAATCGCCACTGACTGATCTCTCTAATTTAATTTCGAGGAAGAATTTTAAATAAAAATATTTCTGTAATAACGGTAATTAACGAAGGGACACTGATTTATAAAATTAAATTATTCAACTTTCTGCAGCAAATATGTTTGAAAATTTAATTTGGATTCTATTACATTTGTGCGAAATTATTCCCTTTACCTTAATTAAAGAAATTAATTAATTGACTTTCGCTGTAAAAAGTCATTTATTCAGTTTTCAGTGGTTGAAATAACGAAATTTAGTTACGTAAAATCGCCGTTCCTTTCCTCATGAGATATAAATCAGCCAAGAGAGTAAAAAAATATAGGAAAATTTCTGGAAAGCTTCCCTTTTTATCGAAAAATAGAAAAGTCCAGTCCTGGCAATTACTCTACGCTCTACGCGTAATTTCCCGATAGAATCAATCGCCACTTTGAATCGCGCATCGGATTTTATTTGGTGAACACACAGAAACATATAGGGAGGCATTAGTTTAGCGCTCTCGACGGGCCAATTTCTTATGTAAACCCGAGGTTGAAATGACGCTTAAATCGCTTTTTCATCGCGGACAATCGTTATCTCTATACGTGAGTACGTGTTCGTTATTGGAAAGTTATTGGACGACGGCGATGAGAATGATGACGACGATTACTCGAAGGTCCCTCGAAAGTCCCGCCGAGGTAACAACGCGCGGCTCATCGCACGATCGCGAGGTGGCCGTATTTTAAGGTCGAGGTCTAACGACGGTGAATTGCCGACTGACACGCGCAGACGATGGCTCTACGCACGGCATAACAAGTGCGAGGCTTCAGCGAGGGCAATCAAATTCAAGTTGCATCCTCGCCTAACGAGTGAACGCCTGACAAAAGCGTCGGTTAAGATTCGCCGAGTTTCCCGCAATCAGCCGCCTCCTCCTCCTCCTCCGCTTCCGCTCATTCTACCTTCGAGCGAAGTGTTGCCGTCGGTTTTCTCGGACAAATTCCCATCGTTACAGATCGAGCTTCGAGGAAGTCCTTGGTCTCTCCGCGAGAGATTT